GGGCATCGAAATTCTATCATTCTTAAATATAGCTCGTAAAGCACTGAAATACTAAATGAAGTTCAATATTTTAAGATGTAATATGTGCTTATGCGCTACATGTTCTGTTATTGACTATTTAAAAATTCAGATATAGCAGTTTTTTGGAGCGCAACCTTTATCATTGATGAGAATTTTAATACAGTGGTAGTGGCTAACCATTGCTATGTTATGATTTTAGTAAATAATTTATTTTTGTAAAAGTTGTAATGCGTTTAAAGCAACCATCGGATGTTCGTTTACTTAGGAATGCACATATATATGTTTGCAGAAGAATGATCAACAGCAAGGAGAAGGAAGCAAAAGAAGTGGAGAGATGTCGACGCAATATTTGCAAATACCAAGAAAGATTAGACGCCCCCTTGCAACTTTATCACCGAATCATGACGATTCGGATTCGGAGAGTAACGGACCTCTTGCTCCAAATTTGTCACCAAATCATGAGGAATCAGATTTGGAGAGTAGCACGCCATCTGATGCCGATCTTCAAACCGATGAGGTGAAACTTCCCGTTATAAAAAACATTTTTACTACTTTGTTGCATTCAGGAAAGAAATTCTCAACTCGAAATCATTTTAGAGATAGATTTTATGAATTCATTTATGACAAAATTCGATACAAATATTTATGAATTACTATTGTTATTATTTATCGAACCAGAGATATTTGATGGGATACTTCTTTCACATATCATAAAAATAATGGTATTAACCGTGATGACAGACAGAACTGCTAACTATAAATGCAACATTTCAATCTAATTTTGTAGTGGAGTGAATTTCTGAACTTCTGAATTCATTATCATTTTTTCAGGGTGAAGATAGTTATCACTCAAGGAATAGTACTACGATTGATAGCAGCGACATTTCTGCTAACGAACTACGTCCTGATGATGAAATGGTATTTGTTGTTGATTCAGTTTCAAATAATGTCCGAAGAGCGTTTAAGAGTGTTCCAGATATTTCTAGCCAAGCAGCAACTACAAGTAGCAGTATAATATATACTACAGTAAGTACCATTTCATAATAAAGTTGTCTTGAACTCTATATATACCAAATAAATACGCAGAATGAGCTAATCAGTTAAATAATTTTGCTGCTGGAAAAGTAATAGGAACAAATCCATAAAATTTGAGGTAGAATTCCCCATTCCATATTTTCTTGATAAAACTAGACCACTTCAATCTTATCACCTTTGATATACAGCTATGATAATAATAAACTGAAGTGAAAAGAATGCATTTCGATTTATTTTACTAATATTCTCAAAGCAAAATCGCTTTTCCTAGGAAAGAAGAGAAAAAAGAATGAGATTAATTTTATATAACTGAAGATATGGTCAATTTCAGGAAGAGCATGAGGATCGAGTGCGGACGGATCCAGTGTATGATGCGGATATCTATCTTTATATGAGATATAGGGAATTAAAACTTTGTCCTTCTGGAGATTTTTTAGAATTTCAAGAAGAAATATGTGGTGAAGTGAGATATCTTCTTGTCGAATGGATTTGTGATTCAGCTCGAGAATTTAATTTAAGCACGGTATACTTCATATTTTATAAATGCCTGTTTACTTTCCAAATTTTGCTTTAATTTCGCTTACTTACTGCTGATTTCAAAATGTAGAGGGTATGACAGTTCCTTTTTTCGGAATTTTGGTCCATACTAGAAATATTGTCGGGTTTATTCAAGATAATTTCGTCGAGCTTGAATAATTTTAATGTATTGTCCAAATAATTTGAATCGATCTTGATTTCAGGAATCCTTGCATATGGCAGTTTCAATTGTCGACCGAGTCTTAAATACACTTCAGTGTCCACGTGAGAAGTTGCAATTACTTGGTGCTGCAGCTCTGTTGCTAGCAGCAAAATTTGAGGAGATCTATCCACCAGAAGTGAAAGAATTCGCTAGAATTACTGCTTACACATTTCACGAAACAGAGGTATACTTTGCAAATACATTGTTTGAGATGTTAGGACCTAATTAAACACTATTTCATGGTATCCGGCTACGATGTCTTGGTTTTATTATGTATTTCTTTCTTTACTTTTAAATGGGTTGAAGTGCTGTTAAAAGTCTTTCACTGTCTGTTTCTTGACATGAATAAATGCTTCAGGTTGGGTATAGCCTCAGTTCGTTCCGCTCAGACTGTTTTCTTTTTTTGGTTTCTCGGTTTTCTATTTCATTGACCAAACCATAAAGAAATATGAATTATATCGGTGAACAACTATTTCCAAATTAGTATTTGTTCTGATTTCTATTGCATTATGCATCTTTTTTCTTGTTTTCTTATCTTTATATTTTATATCTAAGTTTATCTGTCTTCATCTTTCAAGCAAAGGTCATACTTTCAATAAGCTGAGCAATATATAAATCGATCTAAGAAGTACCATTTCAGATTATAAGAATGGAACGGATAGTTTTTGCAAGAGTAGAATATCAGCTGTTAGCACCTACGTCATGGTGGTTTGCTTCACGCCTGGTACGTATGGCTCATGTTCCAAGAATAATTTATTGTATGATGAGGTATCTGTTGGAACTTGCCCTTCTAGATCATACATTTCTGGATTTTCGGCCAAGTGTTATCGGGGCAGCATCATTCTTTCTCAGTAATGTGATCTTCAAATCTGATTACCTGCTTTTGACTACAGAAACAGGTTGATTTTACTGAATTATTGGCTCGTTAACTGTAGTAACTATTAATTTCTTTTTGTTTTTTTTCTTTTTTGTGAAGAACAAAACCTATATTTTCTAATATGCGCTATCACCTTATTATTATTCCGAATAAATGCTATTATTCCGAAAAAAAAGGATAGGATAGAGAATAGCTCTATCCTGGGAACAAAATGAATAAGTTTGGTAACACATTTTGTTACATTGATTGTAACTGAGAATGAACTCAGTGACTTATCCATTACGACCCATTTTGTCTTATTTGTCCCACAGATGCTTAATTTATAAGATCAGATATCGGATCTCTAATATTGATAGAAGATTCCTAAATTTCTTCGCATTGTCATCTTAATTTTCAGATATTGGCGTTAATGAACTTCGCTCACCTGCCCGAAAAATGCTTGAACTCTTTCACGAAGTCCCGAACAAAGATTACTGTAGCGTTTTTGAGAAATATGCAACGGAAAAGTACGAGCAGGTCTCTTGTTTATTACTCCCAGATAATTTTTCGGAGTTAGATGTCACCCGTTAACATGCTATTTTTCCCATTGTAAGCTCTTGCTGATATTCTGTTTGCTGTTGCATCAAAATTTTGCAGTAGTTATTAATTCAAGTTCATGAGATATCGTTTTCGGTTGTCTGGTTAATCAGTGTAGTAAGGCTGACGGCAATTGATCAGAAAATTCTTTCGTAAAAAAGGCCCGAATTTCTCTCTCTCTCTCTCTCTCTTGTTCAGTCTGTTAGGCAGAGGTAATTGTAAGATACTCCTAACAGCAACGACAGTTATTATTATTTCGTCAATATTAGTGTTGATAAAGCAAATTTCTTAGTTTAATCTGATTGTTCTAAGCTCTCATCATTTCTTACTTTTTCTTTTTCTTTGTGTAAAATCTTTATTATCAAAGATGTAGATATTAATTCCATTATCTTAACTGAAATTATTCACAGAAATGAATCCGATGTCAACATTTTTCTCTTATTATTAATACAGTTAACCTGCTTAGACCCACACCACTTTTAAATTTCCCTTCAACAGTAACTCAGTCATACACGGACACTTGTAACCGCATAGATATCATTGGAACAGCAGCATTTTTTAATTGAAGTTAATGTTTGCAGTTCAATATTAACAGTTTACTGAAAGAACTCTTAAAATAATTCGGTACTGCTTCACAACAAATACTTCTGACATAGTCAGGAATTCAGCAAATTAGTGCTTTTTAAATGCTAATCATTTGAAAAAAAAATTCCAGTGAAATTAAAAATAAATTTAACGACCGTTGCTATTACTTTTCTTTCTTTTAGGAAATGAGTTCAATTATTGTCTTATTGTGTTGCACTTTATTTGAAACATAGGTAATAAGGGGGAGTTGGCAAACCACATATCATTGCTTGTAACTTTTGCACAGATTTCTTCTTTGCTTATAGATTTTTCCTCAGCTTTACAGATCTATCCTTGTTTACAATCCTAGCACTCATTACTTTTCAGGTCAAGTAAGCTGCATTCCTGTGATAAATAGGTAGGTTTTTCAATTTTTAGAGACGAGTGTTTTACGCCTAAGCAGCATGTTCATTGAATGGAACGTGCGTATTAGAGTTAACACTCAAGGCACTTTTAAAGTGCTCTGAATACTGTGTTAAGTTTTACTTAATTTTATCTAGAATAGCTCAAAAGATGTATCATTCATGTATCAAAAGCTGAGCAAAAATCACGGATATGGGGTAAGAGTCAGTTCAACCTTCAACATTTTTTTTTCGTCCAGTTTATTGTCGTTGTAAAATGCAGTCATCAAATGTATTTATCTTTAAGAAAAATTTACAAACATTCCTTATAATTCATAACGTCTTTTTTCTCTACAATTTATTCGATTTAGTTGCTGTTTATATATTCACTGCAGTACCCAATTTTCGATGTCATATTGATTTTCTAAGATTATTGTTTTGCGATTGATAAAAATGTTTTATTTCTGTTTAAGTGGAATTAAGATAGTAAGAAGGCCAATTGTAGCGGCGCAGTTTAGTGACATGTAATGAATTTAAAAAATTTCTGATTCTAATCTTCAATCAAATATCCACAATCAAAAATGTCCAAGCGAAACTTACGGCATAGGATTCTAATTGAAAAAATACCTTATTTTTTGCATAATACTGACATCAGTATGTTAGATAAATTTCGGAAATCTTCGATGGATCTTAATAGACATCAATACTCACACTTTATTTCAAATACACTAGTAATATAACAACAAAAAGCTCACTGGTCATAAAATGGCACTTCAGAACACAAGAATCATAAAATGGCCGACTTTGGAAATAATCCCACCGGGAAGGATTTCGTATTACTCATATTCAGCAACAGTTTTCCTTTCAACCAATTACCATCAATCTGCAAATAAAACACGGAAAACTTCCAGAAGTGTTGCTGAAAGTTGGAAGATAAGTTGATAATGCAAAAAGAAAAACCAATTTAAGCAAAATTAGAGGTTGAATCTGAAGTGGATTTGTGAGACCGTGCAATTCTCGGCGAAGTGTATTACAATACCTCGAGACTTTATTAGGCCCAAGGCGGTTGTTGCTTATTAGTGAAAAGTCTAGTTATTCCGCATTTTCCTATAATTTCGATTCTAACAATTTCAGTGTGATCCTAGTAACACTTAAAATTTCGTTTGCCAATCGGAATTTCCTCAATCTGAAGGAACTAAAGAAATTTTGGATCAATAAACTAACCTCCTCAATCACTTCGATTTGATCTCCCCTCGAGAAGCATAAATGGTCTTTTGCATTATTATAATAATCATTTTTTGCAGTGACAATTGTATTCGTAATATTTAAATGTTTTCCAGCATCAATTTTGCTGCTACAGTTTTCAATATAAGTGCGTGGTACCAAGCCAATTTTTCCATTCAGCTTACCTCTCAACCAATCTTCGTTTACCCATTCTAGTACTTCTATCTGATCGCCTATAAACTATAGCATAATTAGAGATTTTTACTACAATGGTAAAGCAAAGTTTTAGAAGACTTATTGCAATATTGTGAATATGAAATGAATTCTAAAATCTATTTACTAAAATCTATTTACTACTTACGATAAACTTTAAAGAGATCTTTCCAAATATTAACAATTGTTATGATAACAAAAAGAACTGGATTGTAATAAAAAATCAACACGCTTCATTTACCTGCTTTAAAAATTAGATCACCTTCAACGTCACTGTTATAATCATATAAAGCACTGATATATTCCGCTGATGTATAACAACTTATGGGTTCAGAAGGTGCTGTTAACGGAACGGTAATTTCCCGAACATAATTAGCAGGAAAGATACCTTGGCGTACTCCAATCTTACCACATAACCAATCGTCATTAATCTTTTCCACAACATAAATTTCATCATTTGCTCGGAACTAGAAAAATTTGTAGATATAAACAATTTCATTGGACTTATTAATGGAAACTACTAATGATTAAGACTTAACCATAAATGTTGGAACGAATCTGTTAAAATTCTAATCAACATGGATTACCGTAAGATCTCCTGATACGCTACTATCAAAATCGTATAAAGCAATCACACGATATGGTCTGAAAAATTTTATAAATTATCAATATTATCAATACGTTTAAAAAAACCCTTGAATAGAAGCTTTTTATCAGCCTCCTTACTAATCTATCGATGTTTGATAACTCCTTTAATGTTTCCTTTCACTGTCATATCCAATCTGCCGGGTATCAAATCTTTAAATGATTTATTTATTTTAGCATTTGAAACTAATCCTAATTGAAGAAAGCGAATGCCATTTTATATTACAATATTATACATCAAATCGGCAACATCAAATACCAATACGAAATAACATAATAATTCTAACAACATAATTTATAAAAAAAAGAAAAAAATAAAGCTCTTCTTAGTTTTGTTTCCAAAAGTTCAAACTTGATAAATGACATAGCTAATAATGAATATATCCTCGCTCTTTGGATGAGTAACAAAATCGCAGAATGGTAATATATATATATAACTTACATTTGAGAAGTCGACGAGGTTAATGATGTGGGAAGAGGAATTTTTACATCAATGTACAAAAGTGGCATAATTCCTTTTTGACCAGTTCTTTTATTGAGCGCATAGACCCACTGATCATCTACCTGACATCAACTTAAAAAATTTCTCTAAGAAAACATTTTCTTAAGACATATGGACTGAGGAAAACTTTTAAAATCCTTCCCAATTTCTAAAAATAATGAGAAATTTTTTAAAACCTTTTTTTCCAAAACAATCATATCCGATGGTTCTGCAGAAAGTTCATCAAAATGTGACGCAAGGAATTGAAATTTTGCATAACCATACGGCTGCTGTTCTTGATTCGTTGTCATAAATGCATTCGCTTCTGAAACTGTACTATCATGTAATCTCGAAAATTCGACTCCAATGCAGTTTTTTTTCAATTAGATTTTTTCTTTCTTTTTTTGCAAGAATAAAATAATCAGAAGTTAGAACGTCTTCAATAAATTTTAAGACCAAAAAATAGTAATCCCAGGAATTACTAATAAAATTTGGTACTTGGGCTCTGAAATCAGCCAGGCCTTTAGGATAAAGCTCAAGAAAAAAATTTCACTTGATTGTTATTAATGCAATGCCGTCAACCTGATTGTTACATTATTCAACGTTCTAGCTTTAATATTAATAATTGGAAATTGAGAGTTTAAAAATATTTCAAATATGAAATTACCCGAAGCGAAATTAGATTGAAAGATATCGTATGAAATTGACTGACTAGGCATGACTGCAAATTTATCAGCAGTTTTAGAATTAATATCAGATGCATAATCTTGCGATGGAGGAAGTGAAGGATATACTGATGTCGGCGCTTTGTTTACAATGGATTTGGAAGTCCCAGCATGGTTGACAAATTTATCAGCTGGTATACTATCTTTTTTTACAAGACGTTTCTGTTGTTGTTGCTTGTCACAGGCCTGAGCAATATCATATGCTGTTTTCAAAGTCTTTTCATCTTGTAGAGCATTCAGGGTAACTTTACGCACCTGAAAAACGAAACATGAAATTTAACCAAATCTGTCTACTTTCTGAATTAGCGAAACACTAATTCGGTTATTTACTGTGGTAAGTATTACTGAAGAATTTACCACGGAATTACTGTATCAAAAAATACGGAAAAATCAAAAAGTTACGGGGAAAGAATTTTAATTTCAGAAATTCATATCTAATAAGCTTTACAATAGTTGATAGTAAAAACCTTAAAAAAATTTTTTTTCAAAAAAAAAAAGTTCCTTTCTTAGAACATTCAGTAAATGGAAAGAATTCAGTAGTTTAACAAAAAGAAAAATTTTTATCAAACAACAAAAATGATTTATTTTCTAACATGCTTATTCTGTATTACCTGCATATTTAATTACTTGAATATTTAATTCGTGAATTATTTACCGGTATTTTTTTACATCAACCTTTACTTTTAAATGCTGATTTTATCAAGTAAAATACCTACAGCTTCGTTTTTAGCAAGAGATGAAATTGCTGATCGAACAGCTTCATTTTTACTTGCTGCAATCAACCTCTGTTGTACTTCCGGTTTTTTCACGACATCAAAGACAGCTTTTGCAGTACTGAATGCAGTACTAAATTTACCAGTTCCAAGGGTTCCTAAAAATTTCATTTATTATTTATTATATCCGAATAAAAAGCAAACAAATTAAGAGCGCATAAATGTAAAACTTCAATGTCATATTAAAAGCACATTAAAAAAAAAAATAAAAAAGATGTAACAGCAATGATTTTTTTTTTTCAAATGAAAAATTGAATAGAATTAGTATTGCCTCAACTAATTAAAAGATATCACTGAGTTCTTATCAAATATTGGAAAAATATTGGCTCAGCTCCGTTTCATAATCTTACAACTAACTATATTTTCTCTCCTTCCAATCGTTAAGGAAGAAAAACTTTTATAAAAATGATTTAAAAAAAAAAAGGAAAAAAAGCTTTTGGAAGAGTAAAACATACGGATGAATTCTTTCGGTGTTTCCTAAGCTTCTTAGAAAGCTTATTTTCACTTCTTGTCAAGAACATATCAAAGATGAAAGCGAAAATTTTGCATTTTGAAGATGAAGCACCAAAATCAAATTCATTTTATATAATTTCAACACCTTCAGCCATACTACTACAAAATTCCTTTCTTCGTTATTTACCTTCTTTAATTAAAGTAAGCTGTTTTAATATACCTAGTTATCAGGAATTCAAAACAAAACCAATTAATGTGAAATTAAAACCACCATTTATTATTTTAGATCATGAAGCTACAAAAAAAAAAAAAAAAAAAGATATATTGTGCTGCAAGTACTAATAACAACAAATACTTTCACAATTATAGCAGCAATTACAGCAATTAGTGTGACTCATTCATTTCAGCCTTGAGTTAACTCACTTTTTTTCTATATTTTGCATTAGTAATTCATCAATAATTTACAAAAGCAATAACAATTACTTTTTCGAAACAAAATCTATTATTTTTTAGCTTCCATTTTTCCTAATAAATATGAACTACTACGAAATAAAATGACCCGTTGAATGAAAAGGAATTGAAAGTTTTTATCTATGTAAGCAAAACTGCAACAATATTCCTAAGTATGCGACCAAAAACAATTCCAAAAAAAAATCACTCATGCATCGGATCATCGTCATGTATCGAGGGCATTTTCGGTGAACGCAAGAACGGATTCCCATCTAATCCAGTATCTTCTTGTAATTTGGTTCTTATCCCAGTTACTAATTCATTTTGCAGATCAAATAAAAGAGGATCTAAGTATGACTCATTTGTTGCTTTTGGTTCAATAATTTCTCCAAAAGTTGGCACTTCAGCTTGCAGTAGACCTATTTCTTCTTCGCTGTCTTCCTCAAAGAAAAATTTTTCGGAAATATCAACAGGAAATTCCGGATCCGTAGTTTTTAATTGCTCAGCATCATGTATTATTGTTGCTGCTCCATTCGTCATTGTTTTTTTTTCATCTTCTTCCACGGATGCCATCATTTGAGCTTGCTGTTGACGGATACGTTCTGCAGCAGCAGCAGCAATCTTTTTTAGAATACGCTGTTTGTGAAGATCGAAGAGAGAAATAGACGGATGGGTACGTAGAACGAAATCTTTCAATGACGTAACGGTATTTCGATACAACAAAGCCAAGCCTTCACGTGCTTTTTCGTATGAAGGTTCTGGCTCCCCAGATATATCAGTACGTACATAAGTATGTGGATCAGGAAAAGGAGGTAACCAATCCGGAATATGCGGTGGACGTGGACGTGAGCTACCGACACGAAGTTGCTGCTGGGGATGCGATGCTTGCTGTACACGTGGTGGTGCTATCACCAAAGAACCTTTAGAGGTTGCTTCTTTCAGAAATGCTGGCAAGCTAGAAACTGCAGTACCTAGATCTACTAATGCCATAATTGTATCTGATGGTGTTGAAATAGTACGACCAGCATGTTCGGTCATTTGACGTGTGGTAACGGCCAGTTCATTGATATATGAATTAATCATATGGGTGAGTAATTCGAGAACATCGGCTTCAATCGTTTCGAAACCGGCCTGTTTACAGATAGCAGCAACCGCTTGACGTAATACACGTCGATACACGTAATCAGCTACTGTTGGCGAATAACTTGTTGATGGCAGAGAATGCATTACTGTGGCTGCAAATTGCTTCGTCATTGCGTTGTGTGAAAAACAGACGCTATACGTGAACAAAAAATAACAAGCACAAAATGACAATTAAAAAGTGCTTGAAAAGTACAAAAGATTTTTTATTAAATTAGAAACTTATTTTTAAGAAACGAAAGCAAAACAAAATTCTAGAACAAGAAACAACTAAACTCCAGAAAATAACGTATATCAGTATTCTAGAACAAAATACAGAATGTCTTCAGTACACAAACTTAATAATGCAGAGGACACAAGAAATAAAACAAGCCGTTTTTTCGACATTTCCTAACAAATCTAAACCTAACCTGTATTCATCCAATTATCATTTAATAATGCGGTAAGATAGAAAGGTTTACGTACAATTTTTACAACTTTAAATTCAAAAAATCCGGAATTCAGGATGTACTCAAGTGTCGTAAAAGGGTTCGCTTCTTAACATGAAAAAAATAAAAATAAAAAAAAAATATTTAAAAGAACATGATAAAATATAATACACGAACAAAGTATTGGAAATTCTATCCATCTATCCAGCTCCACCCTGCATATCAAGATATTTTTGAATGAGCCCATAGTCTCAACATCCTATATGTTTGCAAGCTCCAGCGTCAGCTGCCAGCAAAGGAAGTTCCAAAAGAAATCGAAATTAAAAGTACCTGACGGCGATTGAAGATGACTTGCTGTTGCTGGCGCTGAAGCTTCATTTGTATTACTCTTGTTCTTCCAGAATGATTTTTCAGGTAGAGGTGGCGGTGGCAAAGGCTTATTTGCTGGGAACATCCCCCTAAACATACGAAAAATAGTATGCGTTATACACAAAAGCTTTAAGTTATAAATAAATTTCACCGAACAAAATTAGTTACGAAACAGATTACTCCAATAAGAACTTACCTTCACTACTTTCTCCAATTTTTTATAAGTAGGAAAAAACAGATTAAAAAAAAGGAAAGTGATAACGATCATAGGATTGAAGGTTGTTAAAATTTCAATTCTACAGAACCATAAGTTTCATCCTAGCAAAATCCCTGCATGATCATGTGCTGCATTATCACAAGTAAAGATATTTCCGCATAATTAATAACCATACGAATGTAAAATAAAAACGACAAGATAACCAACTGAGTATCAAAACTTTTAAATGCAATAAATCGATGGAATTCACACTATAAAAAAAGTTCTTTATTCACTGAAGATTTTAAAGTAAATATAAATTCATAAAACAGTTAAGACACGTATGATTCCACAAGAAATTTCCCGTTCGACAAGTTCTTGAATTTGTTATTCAGTTCTTTAAAATAAGTTAGGTATTGGTCAAACAATTTCGTAACCTATCAAATTGTATTTTTTAATGAATAGCACAGAGAATGACAAAAATGAAATAAAATATATAACGTTATATAAAATGAGGTAAATAGGAGCAATTTCGAGGCAATTATTATGATGTGCAGACATAATCAGTAAAAATAGTGAAAAACATCTCATCTAGAATACTTTTATTATTTTTATAATTCCAAATTTTAAAATTCAAAAAATTTCTCAAAGGTATGAAAGAGTGCCAGTGGCATATTTATATGATCTTACAACATATAGTAAAAAGAATCTTGAAAATATAATCCCTCTCATAGAAGTAATCAACCAACCGTCTTATTAGTTAACTAATAAACTGAATTCTTCAACACAACAAAATCTTTTCTATGTGAATCGATGTCAAAAATTATTTCTTACACCACAATAATTAGAAGGATATTTACAAGTATCAATAAACAGCTGAAAATCATTTGAGGCAGATATTTCACAAAAGCAATAACAGAAAAAAAAATTACTATTTCACTAACTTAGAAATATTTTGTTAAAAAAGTACTGAAGTAGATTTTATTACTAAAGTTTGCATTAAGTGAATAACCTCTCAAATGTACATCCAGATCTCATATTTCAAAGCACTAGTCAAAAGCAACAACAAAACAGCACAAAAAAGAATGAAGATAATGCAGTAAAAAATTCATCCTGATAGTTTCATTATAGAAAAAAAAAAAAAAAAAAAAAAGATATTAGAGAGAAAAATGAAAATTTATCTTAAACATTATCTTAGCTTCACAAAAACATCTGCACAGTTGCACTTCGGTTGATATTTTCTAGTACAATTCAGAACTAGTTAAAAGAATTTCTAGCAATATTTGTAATAAAAATACGGAATAGTATTTAGAAACTTACATACGACCACTAACTTCAATTTACTTTGCCAATATGTAAAATAAAAACTATTTTCAGATAAGGAAAAATAACACTTTTAAGAAAAAAATACTGAGAGGTAGAGAAACAAATCAACTAATCAAATCAACTAAAACTATTAAAAAAATTTCACCTTTCAGTTTCACAACGTATAAAATCGAGTGAAAGTAGCGGTTTGCTATTTACATTCTACAATTAATTCACCTTTGTTCGATGTATTATAATATCTGAAAGAAAGATATAATGAATAAAGCTAAAACTAAAAAATGCGCTATCTGTACAAGACACCAATGTGCATTACAAACGAATAAACTTGTAAACGAGTAACTGTGTCCATACATCCATAATAATAAATAATAATGCAACCATCCATAATTCAATCCTAGGACCACATTCAAATCTAAGTAACTGGAGCTAATCCCAAAAGCAAATGTAAATTCTTCTTAACGAATTTTCAACGAACTACAAATCGATTAAAGAGCCAGAATTCTACAAAATAATGTAGATAAATTGAAAGGAAATAAATCCTTGAAACATACTCATAACCGCACTGCTCAAGCCATTGTATAACAGCTGGTTTAATTTTTGCTTGTCCGTCGTTCAATTTACCATAACCGGTCAAAACAACAAGTTTCTTCCGGGATCGCCCACGTCGAAATTCTGGAGGTCCTGGAAATTTTCACAGTATAGAAGAGTGAAAGCTGCAAAAAATGATTAATTACTAAATCACCGGAACTTCAAATTCTTATGCAGAGTGAATAACTTTTCAACTCATTCTGTAATGAACTGTTTAAGAACTGAGAATTTCTTACGCCCAAAATTCATATATACGAGACTCATTCGGTTCATACATGCAAGCTTTTTTGATTCTGCAAAGAAACAAAAACATATGACTTCGAAATACATCCTGATTATGTTACTACTAGCAATCAGTGCCTTTTTTTTTCCATAACATTAAGAAATAATTGATGTCTAAACCTATAAAAGCATGTTTCTTTTAAGATATTACTGAAAAAGGGAAAATATATAAATTTACTATCTGCAGCATTCAGCTTGGCTTTAAGAAGCTTAAGAGCCGATTGAACATTCATATAATGCAAATCGATGAACAAAGTGGATGTATTCGCTTTGATCAACCGTTCATTGAGTTCTGCCACACAATCTTTTGCTTTTTTTCCCATTTTCTGAGCCTGCAATTAAATGTGAATTAGGACGAAATTAAGAACAATTTTGC